CTGGTTATGTTGAAAAGTGCCACTTTGCTCTTTTCAGAGGTGCTCAAGACAATTGATGAGGGAGATGCTGATGAGGTGACAAAGCAAAGGATTCATGATGGAAAGGAGAAACCTGGTGCTTTGTGGCACATCTATGCAGCCAAGGATGCGGAGAAGATCCGGGAGCTGCTCCGAAAGGTGTGTCCCTGGGTGGGCTCCCAGCTCACAGACAAAGGGTCTGGGGATGCTGAGACAGCCTGCCTAGGGTTTCTCACGCGGAGTCCCTTGGCATTAAAGACCTGTGCCCTCTGTCAAAATGCCCCATAGGGCTGAATCCACACTTAGAGGATATTGAACAAAGTAGAAACTTTGGCCCACCAGTGATGTTACTGCAGCAAGTTGGATTTATCCTGTTAATAATCTTTATGTATTTATTGATTTTTCCATCTTTGGGTTTTGATCATGGTTTCATGATCAGGTTGGAGAAGAGCAAGGCCAAGAGAATCCCCCTGATCATGATCCAATTCATGACCAAAGTTGGTACTTGGACCAGACCCTACGTAAGCGACTCTATGAGGAATATGGTGTGCAAGGCTGGGCCATTGTTCAGTTCCTGGGAGATGCCGTCTTCATACCTGCTGGAGCCCCACACCAGGTATGTTCCAACTTGGGGGTAGGGCTGGCTCCACAATTCCCATAGTTTCCTTATATCTGTGTTTCTTGCTAATCTGGCAATAGATATAAACGGCTGGGTTAGACTGATTGCTCTTCAAGTGCAACTTATTTTTTGATTTTTAATTTTCTTCCATGTAATTTTATTTTTTATATATATATTTTTTTAATTAATTTATTTATTGGCTGCGTTGCGTTTTTGTTGCTGCGCACGGGCTTTCTCTAGTTGTGGTGAGCAGGGGCTACTCTTCGTTGCGGTGCACGAGCTTCTCATTGCGGCGCTTCTCTTGTTGCGGAGCACAGGCTCTAGGCACGCGGGCTTCAGTAGTTGTGGCCTGCGGGCTCAGAAGTTATGGCTCACGGGCCCAGTTGTTCTGCCGCGTGTGAGATGCTCCCAGACCAGGGCTCGAATCCCTGTCCTCTGCATTGGCAGATGGATTCTTAACCACTGCGCCACCAGGGAAGTCCCCCTTCCATGTAATTTTAAATGCTTATTTAAAGATTTTTAAATAAGGGAGACTATTAAAGAAAAGGTGAGTCTCTGTTCAGCTACCTATGCCATATCCCTTTTCAGTCCCCTTGTCCTGCCTTCTCCAGAAAGTAGCCTACTGTTAACAGTTTGGTGTGTATTTTTCCAGATCCTTTTCTGTGCAAATACTAACGTTTTCATCTATAAATGTATACTTACAGTCTTTCTGCATTTGTTGTCTTTATGAAAATGGAATATCATAAGTATTTCTAAAGTGTTTTTTTAAACGATATGATGGACAGTTTCCACCTGTTGCTGACTCTCTAGTGCCTGATGTTTGCCTCTGTACTTTTCCTCTCCCAGGTGCACAATCTATACAGTTGCATAAAAGTAGCAGAAGACTTTGTATCTCCAGAGCATGTAAAGCACTGTTTCCGCCTGACTCAGGAATTCAGGCATCTCTCTAACACTCATACAAACCATGAGGATAAACTGCAGGTAAAGAACTCCTCCTCCACCCCAACGCTGTCTTCTCATCTCCTACTAGGCTACATACACAGGAGGCACATTCTGCTTTCTGAGGATATTACCTGGGCAGTATAACTGCAGAGAGATGATTAAGGGACCCATGTCTGGGGTATGGAGTCCTCCCTCCAGGAAGTATTTAATCAGTCCTCTTCAGGTTTGCTTTTAGAGAATATGAATCTTTTAACCTAGTCACTTCCAGTGTTACAATCTTCTATTTCTCTGCCCCTGGAAGATACAGTGTATCCGTGTTAGTAACTGACTAGACTGACTTCCTCGGTCAGGTGGGAAAAGCACTGTGGCAATGTGTTCTAAACCTCTTTCCCCAAAGCTTCTTCTCACAGCAAATTTCTGTGCAAACTCAATTCCTTAGAGCCCTGCTAGGGACTGTAATCCATGTCCCTAAGAGTTGTTTCCCACTTGTAGATCTAAGCTGGACAATCAGATTAGGTTTTCCTCTGCTCAGAAATGGATTGGAACTTGAAGGGCAGAATTTCATTGTTAATATACTTGGATGCTTTAATAACATTAAAAAAGAAAAAGAATGTAAGGAAGCAAGATTTCCCAGGCAGAACTTCAGCATCTGAATAGGCGTTCTTCCAGCCTCTCACATATGACCTGTTTTCCTCCATCGTGCCTGTGACTCAGGTGTATTTTCTTTGGTCAGTGTCCCATGAGGTTGTAGATTTTTCTTGGTTGCTGGTAGATTTAATCACCTTTAACCCTGAACTTGATCTGTTTTGCTGTTCCTTTTTCAAAATTATGGAATATTTCAACCATAAAGTTCTTATACAAAGTACCATCACATTGATAAATAGATAACATTGATATTATAGATATATAATGCAAGTATTCAGGCATACATATTTCAGACCCCACCTCCATTAGGTCTCTACTTGTTACATGTCACCTCCCAATCCTCTGTCACTGCTTTATTTTCTTCTGTAGTATTTTTCACCATCTAACGTACTATGTATTTTATGTTTGTTTCTATCCCTACTAGGACATAAGCTGTTTAAACTCCATGAAGGCAGGGATTTTACTGTTTTATTCACTGCTTTTCCCTAGCACATAGTAGGTACTCAGTAAATATTTATTGAATTAATACAAAAAATGTAATAGAGAACAGCAAAGGGGGCTTTTGTGCCCATAACTCAGCTTAAGAAATACAGCATCATATACGTACCACATACACAATATATACATATTCAACAACTACATTATTGAAGCCTCCATGTACTCTTTTCCATTCTACCTCCTCAGAAATAATCACAGTGTTGGTTTAAAACCGTCTTTATCCTGTTCACTTTATTTTAATAACTTTTACTTCACATGTGTGTTCCTTTTTGACAAATTAGAAAATATGTATAAGCACAAAAGGGAAAAATACCCAATAAATCCTACCTGCCCACTATTGTTTTAGTGCATTCTTATTAGCTACAGGACCTCAGGTAAGATTGTTAACCATGGAACCTCAGTTCTCATCTGTAAAATGGGGATAATAATAGAATCTGCCTCATAGTATTATGGTAAGGATTAAATGAAAGTCCACATAAAGAGCTTAACAGTAGTTCCCAGCATATAGAGGATGGTGATTACATAGCCTTTCAAATGATGAAATCATTCTTTTTTGAATATAGACTATATATCTTGTGTGACTTGTAAATCATCTTTTGGGATTGATTTAGGAAGCATGCAGTCCTGGTTGAGGGCTTTCGTCACTAATCAGAAGGCTTTTAGTCAGTGTAGGACATAACATTTTCATTTGCAGAACACAGTCTGGCTGCCATAAACTGACTGTGCTGATTGCTCTCTCCAGGTGAAGAACATCATTTATCACGCAGTGAAAGATGCTGTTGGCACCCTCAAGGCTCATGAATCCAAGCTGGCAAGGTCTTAGGCGTGGAGAAATTCCAAACTCGCCTGTGAAGCAGGTCTTTCACTCACAACACATACAGGGAACAGCAGGGTTCTCTGCTGGAGCAGAGGTCCTTCACTTGGAGCCAGTGTGGTCAGTATTACAAACTCTCCAGCCACTCTTTGCTGCCTCAACACTGAAGGTTGACACAGGAAAGTCGCACTGTTCACACACACAGTTTCAGACTCCAAGCCAAGGGTGCCACATCCCCATCCTGTGGCCTTTTGGGACTCTGAATTGCCTGAATATCGCTGGGCTTTCCTGCACATTCTCATGATTTGAGATTCGTGGAAACCAGGAATGTGGGCACACCTTTCTTTTCTTTTTCTCTTGTGCCTAGTTAAGTGGGAATGTGTTTGGAGGTAGGGGGAATCACGTAACTGGTACAAGTGGGGGCTAATTGCTTAAACACGCCTGGTGGAAGCCTGATGGTGTCTCTGCACATGACCTCTGACACACCCCATCCCGGGAGCCGGGTGAAGCCTTTCCCCACCATCTCTCCTGTAAACAGTGGAGTCTTGAAGGACCCAGGGGGAATCCACTGCTTTTCCCAAGGGGCTCCAGGATTAGGAAATGTGTGTATTTAGTGAAAAATAGGTTTGTAGTGAAATAGTTACTATTTCATGAAAGTAGATATTTTTAGAACTTTTGAAATACCACAGTTGTTTTCCTGGATTATGAGGAAAGGCACATTATGTTTAGTCTTCCTTTCGATAAAACTCTTTGAAGAAATAAGATTTTTAGAAATCAACGGCCCATTATAGCACAAAAATCAGCCAAAGCAGAATTTTAAAGAATTGGCTTTGTAGGATTCTTTTAGTTTCTCCCCATCCCATCTCAGTCCTATCTTGAGGGAACAGCCATCTTGAGAAAGAACTTTGTCATGTCTGTGCTGTTGGTGTGTTCCACGCATACACACACTGGTGACTCCAGGACCCATTTCCATCTATTACCAGCGTTCCCTTGGGACTCCTCTTACAGTTCCAAATGCGAAGGAAAGTTTGCTTTCCTACATGAGGCTTTTTGTTTTGGGGGTTTTTTTGTCCGGAAATATTTTCAGCAAAACTTTCCAACTCAGTGGAGTTTTATTAAGAATTTATTTGAAAATGATGGAATTCATTGGCCCATAGGTACATTGGAAAATGTATCTATCTTCCCGGCTGTACTGTAGTGCCCTGCAGGCTTGTTTATATGTTCACAGTTACATTTTTTTTTTTTAATAAAAGTCATTTACTGTAGAATACTTTTAATTTCACTTTCTGTATTTTAATTTTGTTGAAGGGCTGATTGGGATTTCCATGTTCTTATTAAAAATCTAACAAATCTGTTTGTAGTGGACTAAATTCTTCCTGTGCCAGCCATTCTAAAAAGCAGGGCCAGGTTGAGGATGGGGTTGGAGGTGGAGGATGGTTAATTTTCATATCATCATTACATTGTTGCATCCGATTATTACTCTTTCCTTCCCGAATGTGTCCAATTGGGAGAGGGAAGTGCCAGGTCATTGTGGTTTGAGGGCTTGGGGATGAAGGGAAGGTGCTACATGAGTTAGAGGGTAGGAGCAAAGATGGGCTTTCCATAGTTTATGCTCTATGGGAAAGCTGGGTTCCTACCTTCCTGAACAGTCTGGGGGGAAAAGGACATGGGAAGTGGCCAGAGCAAGGTTTTTGGCAATCAGTGACAAAAGTTCATCAAAACAAGAGGCCTGGCTGTCCATGTATGAAATTAAAGTGGCTTGAAGGGTGAGGACAGACTCCGTTCCAATTAGAAAAGGCCTTTTGAAGAGGAAGTTGTAAAGAATAGCAAGAGGGATCATCAGAAGCTGCTTCTCTGGATCCTGTTGGAAAAACATCTTCCGAAGTGTTTCAGCCTGGAAATACAATTATCCGGGTAGAAATAGACCATTGTGTGGTTCAAGGATACTGAGCTTGAATAGGACCATAAATGAAATACAGAGTTCTGAGCATGTCCTTTCAGCCTGGATGGGCATGGGTTGATGCTATGGTCATCAGAGGATTACACCTCGACATAAAGAATGCAGAAGCTTTGAAATGGCACAGGAAAGGAAAGCAGTGGGGGAAGGGGGGTTGCAGAGGTTGCTGGAGCTTTGTTGCTTTGGTGAAAATCAGGAGGCAGGCTAGCCTACATTCTGGATATAAATGTCTTCAGAATTAGGGCATCCACTGCCGCCAGTGCTTGCTGATGGGGATGGAATTGGAGCCCCTGGATTCATCTCCTACCTGGACCCCAGGCCTCTCTACCAGCCTCTGTTTACCAAGAGGCACTCCCCTGCCCCAGGGTATCCACCTTGAGAGCACAGGGCTCAGTTCCCTTACAAAACTGAAAAAGCAGATCAGATTGGGAACGGGGTTAGGTCCTTTTCCAACTGGAGTGATTGGTGATGGTGGGGTGGACAGATGCCCCTGTACCTTTGACTTCAGGACTTCCTGGGTGGGTGTCTTGACGGCCTGTGATGGGGGAGGAGGGTTTGATAGTCAGCAGTTGGGAGAAGTAGCCCATTTAGTAGACTTCCTGAGCTCCTATCTTAGCAGCATGACTTTGTGGTTCTGTGACCCTTGGCAAGTTATTGAACCTCCCTAAAGCTTCCCATTTTCTTATCTTCAAAATGAGAATAACTATAACCTCTACCTTACAGGATGGTCACTGAAATAATGCATGTGAAGCTCTTAGCACGGGCCTGGCACACAGTAAGCACTCAATAAGTCATAGCTATTATTCCTCGTGGGATGTTCTTTCAGACTGTTGTGGGCAGGGCAGGAGGAGGGCTAGGATGTCAGGATGGAACCATGAAGGCCTCTGAGGACCTCAGCCCAGGGCTTGGAACCCAAGAAAGGTGAACAAGCGATTAGAAGAAGGCAGGTCAAAGGCGCATGCCCGGCGACAGCAGGTGCAGGGGGCGCGCCGCCGGCGCGGCGGCCTCCCCTTTAAGAGCCGCCACCGCCCACGGCACGCCGCTGCGGCAAGGACCTCCCCTTTAACGGCGGCGGCTCGGCGCTCCGCGGCCCCCGCGGCGGCTGCTGCTGCGGGTGCTGCTGCTAGTGCGGCTCCTACTGCCGCCGCTGCTCGGCCTCCAGCAGCTGCATCCTCGGCCCCGGCCGGGTTCCCGCCCTGCGCCCCGCCCGGCCCCGCCATGGTGTCCTGGATCATCTCTCGCCTGGTGGTGTGAGTGCGGCGGCGGCGGCGGCGGGGCGCGGCCGGTTGGGAGGGGGATGGGGGCTAGGGATGGGAGGTGAGGGGTATTGAAGCCCGGGATGGACCACTCCGTGGCTTCATACATCAGAGTCACCTAAAGGCACATCGTCCCTATTTGGGGTCCCCAGAGACGTGGAGGTGTGGGACCTGGAGGAGGGGGAACTGTTAGAGGAGCATGGCAGACCTGGCTTCCCACCCCTTTTATTTTTAATTTCCCTGTTTCTTCGCCCTCCCTCACCCCAGGGGCTGGGCAGCACGGCTTGATTTATCAGGGGAGGCGGCTTGTCCCCTCCCCCACGTCGCAGATCTGACTGGAGGAGCTCCTCAAACCTGGGCCCTCATCTCCCTTGGGGAGAGGGCTAATGGAAGAGCCCGGGGAGCAAGGCAGGGCCTCCTCATTCCATAGCTTAGGGCCGTGGCAGCCTTGGCCTCCCCAAAGGGCCGGGTTTCTCCTGCCTCTTCCACTGACTGTCAGGAGACTGGGGGGTGAGGGCACATGCTCTGAAGACCCCCCAGGGAGGACGGGATATGGGAAGCAGAGATGCTTGGAGGACAAAGTGTGGGAGGTAACTGGGAGAGGATGTGTGTGGCCAGCCTGGAATTGTGAAAGACGCGGAGGGGAAGGTGTTAGGTGGCCTTCATTTCAGGCTGCCAGCTACGTCCCTCCCACCTCCCCCAGGCTGCAGGAGGTCACCCTCTCCCACAACCGGGGACTTTGTCCTTGAGGATTCCGCCCCCCACCCCATCTCCAAAGCCTATTTCTCAGAAGTGTCCTGCCTCAGTGAGGCAAGTCCATGGGGGAACAGGCAGTACCACACATTGTCAAGGGGCTGGGCCTGGCAGGGGCTCCACATGGGCCTCAGCCAACCCCTCCCTGCCCCAGCTCAGGTCCCTGCCCCTAAGCCTCTACCTTGGGAGACTGACACCCCAGAATCCCCTCCCTGCTGTCATGTGCTTGTGTTCTGGCTTCCTCTAGACCCACCAGAGTCTCCCTCCTGCCTCTCCCGCATCCCACCCCAGAGGGAATCCAAGGGCCTCAGACCTCCCTGTGACCTTCCCAGTGTCTGCTTCTCTCGTGTGAATGAGCTCGCTGAGCGGCATCGGTCCTCTCCTTCCCTCACCTGTGTCCTGTATGTGATCTCTGATGGGATCAACACCGGACTCCACTCTAGCCAGGACCTCCAGCCCAGCACGCTACCCTGAGCCTGTTCCCAAAAGTGTTTACATGGGGGAATAAACCTCTCTCAGGGCCTCCTGCCCCTGTGCCCTCTGCTCCCCAGGCCCCAAGGGCTACAGTGGTACCTCTGACTGCCAGGTAGAGTGCCCTGTTAGGTGGCCCTACCCAGCTTGGCTCTGCAACAGGGAGGTAGAGGGTAAGGGCAGATGGGTATGAATGGGAGTGGTGTCAAGAAGGAAGACAACCCTGTGGCAGTGACCAGACCCCCACCCCTGATATGCTTATGTACAAACAAGGATCAGGGCTGAAGAGGCCACAGCAGACCCTCTGGCCTCTGGGTCTTTCTGTGCCTCGGGGGCTGGAGAAAAACTGAATAAAGGGTTACAGAGGAATTCCCTGGTGTCCAGTGGTTAGGGCTCGGTACCCTCACTGCCGGGGGCCCAGGTTTGATCTCTGGTTGGGGAACTAAGATCCCACACGCTGTGCTGCACAGCCAAAACAAAAAGGGGCGGGGGGGGTGTTATGAGGCATCACCCTAGCTGGCTGGGGCTTCCATGCTTGTGTATCACCTCAGGCTTGCCTGCTTTGACCTAAACCCCTGACCTGAGTTCATCAGTCCAGCTGATGTGGCACTCTGGAGTTCTGTCCATTCTCCCCTTACCTACCCAGGGACTGATGCAGAGCTGGGAGGGAGAGGCTACTGCTCTTGGCCGAGGGGCCCAGTAACCATGCCTGCCTCCCTAGGCTCATCTTTGGCACCCTGTACCCAGCCTATTCTTCCTACAAGGCCGTGAAGACAAAAAACGTGAAGGAATATGTGAGTGTATGACCCTTTATCTCCCACCCAACCCACGTGGCAGAGATCAGGGAGGACACTGGGTCACATGACAGGTGGGGATGACTTTGTACTAATGCTGTCAGCACTAATGAGACCTGGTTCAGGGGAGGTTCCAGTGTGTTCCTCTCCTCCAGGCCTGGTGTGATACGCAGGCAAAGTTGAGGTCCTGAGCGTCCCCCACAGCACCTCCAGCATGGTTGGTAGGCAAAGGTGGGGTCCTGGGTGTTCCCCCAAGGCCCCAGCCAACACCACCCTCTGTACCTTCAGGTGAAATGGATGATGTACTGGATCGTCTTTGCCTTCTTCACCACTGCCGAGACACTCACAGATATTGTGCTCTCCTGGTGAGATTTAGTGTCCCCTCCCTGCATCCTCAGGGACCAGGGCCTCTGACTTTTTCTACACAGCCAGTCAAACAGAAGACTGAGACCCAGGGTGGGATCCCCCAACAGTTCCATGGGGTCCTGGGTGTCCCCTCCCCCCAATCCCCATCCAGGCCTGGCTTGATCAGCAGAATAAGAACAGATATAACCCTCACATTTCTTTCTGGTCGTAGCCAAATCACCACAATAGAATTCAGGAAACCTGCTTCTGCCGAACTTGCCGTGACCTTGGCAGGTCACAGTTTCCTAGGCCTCAGTTTCCCTATTTGTAAAATAGGCGTATGACTCATTCTTATAAACATTGGATGCTTGTATTTCAAAGGCTTTTTCTAGGCACTACTAGACTATGTATATGTCCTTTGAGGACACGGAATGCCCTAATCATCTGTATATTCACAGCAGGAGCTCAAAAATGTTTACTGAATGAGCAAATGCCTCTTGGAAGAGAGGACTAATGTAGCACGGTACACTGGAAGTCCAAAGAAAAGAGTTTTACAGAGGCAGAGGACAAAACATCCTTGCATTTGTAGATTTCAAGGGCCTATGGCCTTTGAGAAAAACAGTTTTAGAAGAGGAAGTTGAATGGGGTCAAATTAGGAAAGAGTAATGGGTTAAAACTTGAGAACAGTGAGTGTAGGTGCCTCTTGACACAAGCAAAGGAGGGAGCTTTGATGAGGATGGAGGAGACCTGAAGGAGTGTGTGGCCTGGGAAAGAGCCTTGGGGAATGGAGAACGATCCTTAAAAGCAGGGGCCATGCCATGGCATCAAGGGGTGGATCCAGAGCACAGCTGGAGAAGCCCGGCTTCTTCATGGGAGGAAGGGCAGGAAGAGAATGGGGTGAGGACCCAAGAGTGCACCTGGAGGTTCAGGGATCTCGCCATGGTGTTGACCCCAGGACAGAGGAGTGGGTAGTCTTCTGTCAGAAGAGGGTGAGGAGAGCCACTGCTGCGGGGAATTCCTGCGGGATCACCTCTCACCTTCCCACTTGGAGTCTCAGTTGAGCCTCGCCTTGACCAGTCTCCTGAGCCACATGGGGACCTCAGTGCACTAAGGGGTGGGGGGCCAGCCAGGGTCATGCAGAGAGTCGGCGCACCTCCTGACTCCCTGCCCCAGGCTCCGCCGCTTGCCTCTCTCCACCCAACAGGTTTCCATTCTACTTTGAGCTCAAGATTGCCTTTGTGATATGGCTGCTGTCCCCTTATACCAAAGGCTCCAGCGTGCTCTACCGCAAGTTCGTGCACCCAACACTGTCCAACAAGGAGAAGGTCTGTTGGGACGAGGGAAGCTCCCTTCCCATCTGCCCCAGGTCAAGGCAGCCCAGTGCCTGTAACCACGTGCATTCGTGGCTCTCCCTATGGGTGATCTGGCAGGGCCCTGGCCTCCTGGGGCAAGCAGTGCCTTTGTCCAGGTGTGAACAAGGGCAGGGCAGGGCCTGGCCAGCAGGGCCCACCCCTCACCTCTTCCTGCTTCCCCTCCGACCCCTCAGGAGATCGACGAGTACATCACACAGGCCCGAGACAAGAGCTATGAGACCATGATGAGGGTGGGCAAGAGGGGTCTGAACCTGGCCGCTAATGCCGCGGTCACGGCTGCTGCCAAGGTGAGATGGGGGCAGACCCAGCTCCCAGGGCCCCACTTTGCTCATCTCGTCCCCCTGGCCAAGCCCCTTTGCATCCACCAGGTCCTCAGGTGTGTGAAGGTTTGGGGTCTTGTGCAGCTTAGGGTTCCAGTCCTGCCTCTAACACCCTCCAGCTAAGGAACTTCCACTCAACGGGCCAGTTTCCTCATCTGTCCAAAGGGAAAGCATGGCCCCAGCCTGTCAGTGCTGCCATAGGACGGGGTGAGGACACTGCGGGGAGAGCACTGAGCCCAGTGGCTGCCCAGTGCCCCACGGTGACCTCTATCTCCACCCCGCCCCTTCCTCCGGTTCTCCCGGTGCGTGGTGGTGACCCTAGGGCCAGGGGGTGCTGTCAGAGAAGCTCCGAAGCTTCAGCATGCAGGACCTGACCCTGATCCGGGACGAGGATGCGCTGCCCCTGCAGGGGCCCGACGGCCGCCTCAGACCCAGCCCTGGCAGCCTCCTGGACACCATTGAGGACTTAGGTACAGACCAGGCCCAGGGCTGGGCATGGGGCACAGGGGCAAGGAGGCCAGGTGGGAGAAAGGCCAGACCACTGTTCTCCTTTCCTCCCCGAACCAGGAGATGACCCTGCCGTGAGTTTAAGGTCAGGCACGAACCAGGCAGATCCCCGGACAGAGATCTCTGAGGATGACACGGGAGACAAGGCCCCTAAGAGGGCCAAATCCATCAAAAAAGTGCCCAAAGCTGAGGTGAGAGCTGGGCCAGAGCTTGGGGAAATGGCGAGGGGTTGCAACTCCAGGCTGAGCCTTCTGTCTTCCTGTCTCCTTCCCACAGCCACTGGCTTCCAAGACGCTGAAGACCCGGCCCAAGAAGAAGATCTCCGCGGGGGGTGACTCCGCTTGAGGCCCCGGCACGCACCCCCCGCCCCAGGCTGCAGAGCCCCAGCTCCACACTGTGCCAGCAGCCCTCATTCTCAGGCCCTAGGGCCTCTCAGATGGCTGGTTCTGGTGCCTGCCCAGTGGCCCCTCCCCCGGAAGGGCTTGGAAAAGAGGAGGGAGGCCCTGCTGTGGGGGCTGAGGGTAGAGGCTGGACCAGGAGCTGAGGACTGAGCCACTCGAGGAGGTGTGGGCTCCTCAGAGCCTGAGCGCTCTTCTCCCCGCTCCAGCCCTGCCCCCGCCCACCCAGTGCCTTGCTGAAGACCATGGCCATTCCCTCGTCTGAAGTCCTGACATGGTCCCACCGCTCTCCCTGGGTCGGGGTCGGGGGCCAGTCACAGCCCAGAATGACCAGAGACAGTCCTGAAGGCCCTGGGAGAGAGGGAGGGAGTGGGGAAGGCCTCGGAGAACCTGGGCAGGGGCTCTGGGCCTGAAGCTGTGAATAGAGGACACGGGCCTAGCGTGCACTCAAATGACCAGGAGGGCCAGGCCAGAGCTGCAGCTGAGGGCCTTGGGTAGGACTGTGTGCTACATGCGCCCACTGAAAAGAGCTGGGGCTCCAGGGGTGTGCGTGTGAGAGTGTACGTGTGTGTGCATCTTTCTGGGTCTAGAGCTGGGGGGTTTTGAGTAAAGGACTTTCCCTCTAGCAGTAACCTCCCCCCACCCTCAGCCCTCCCTCCTACTCTCTGAGCCTCAGAGGACCCCAGCTCATGAGAGAGTAGGGCTCTGAGGGGCCTCTCACCTCCTCTGCCCTTGATCCTCTCCCCTTTGCCTCCTCCCATTCCTGCCCTGCCCTTGGACTAGGCTCCACCCCTCAGAGCCCTCAGTAGAGGCCCTTGCTGAGCTGGTTCCTTTCCTCCTCACCTGGGGGCCCATCTTCCTTCGCCCTAGGGTCCTCGTCTTACGCCAAGCAAACTAGGCCCCATGTAAGCAGACCCCCGTCAGAGCCCAGCCTTTGCCCCACACTTTGCCCCAGCTTCTGCCGTGGCTTCAGTCAGGGCTAGGAGGAATGTATGAAGAAGAAAAAGATATTAGGAGCCAGGGGGCTCCCAAATCCATGGAAAGAGGGTGCCCAATGGACCTTTCGCACTGGATGAACCAATAAACCAAATTCTGGCACCTCATTTATTTTGGCCTCTGTGCTTTGTTCTTGTTCTACCAGTCCACAGGTGGGAAGGACTTCAAGTGAGAAGCAGGGCTCAGCTGTGGGATGGAGGGGGGAAGAGGCCAGACTGTGAACCCCAGGAGTTCTGATCTCCAAGGTAAGAGATAGGCTTGAGGCGGTTCAGTCTGGGAAGATGGTTTTGAGGTTCAAGGTAGAGCCAGGGGACTAGGCGGGGCCAGGACTTATGAAGAGCGAGCGACAACCCTCAGAGGTTGTCCTGTCCCTCAGAATCTTACCCTGAGACCCCTGCACATTCTGGTACCTCACAGAAAGTGCCAGGTGTAAGCTCTAGGGACAGAGATCATGATGAGGCCCCCAGGGAAGAGAGAATGGGATATGGGGGCTCCTGGTCAGAACCAGGAGATTGGATACCCATAGTGCCTAGAAACGGTGAGCCAGACACTGAAAGGAGGAGATAGGTGGGATGAGGGGAGAGGTGGAGATGAGGAACCAGCCCCATGGTTCATGTCTGACCCTGGGGCCAGGCAAGGAGGACAGGGAACCAAGCAAGGGCTGGGGCCAACGAGGCATGCCCATGTGGCCTGAGGAGGGAGGGGTCGAGCCCTGAGCTGCTGGGCTGGGGTGGAGGAGAGAAGGAGGAGGGGGGCTGTAGCACTTGGAGTCTGAGTTCTGGGGAGGTAGACCCAAGGTCTCCAGGGGTGGAGGGGCACAGCTGGTGGGGACGAGATCCTGAGGTAGAAGCCAGGAGAAGGAAAGGATGACAGAGGATCAGAGGCAGCGTTGGAAGAGACAAAGGAAAAGAGTAGAGAGGGAGGGAAGGAGGAGGGGGAGGGTGAAGGAAGCAAGAGAAATAGCGGCTCAGCCTTGCGGAAGGAAAACAGAGGAAGCATAGCCGCCGGGGATGGGGTAGGGAGTATGAGTGGGGACATAAATCCAGGCCCTGGACCCCAAGGTTGGCAAAATGTCCCTACATCAGGCTTTCCTCTCCCTTCCCTGGCATCACAAGGCCATGTCCTTCTGCCACACTTGAGCCAGTTGGCCAAGAACCTCCTGAACTGAGGTGGCAGTGGAGGTGGGGTGTGAGATGCCCTTTTCATCTTTCCTGGATTCTTCCAGTCAATAGACCTTTGAATGGCATTCCTTTCACCATTGACCTCTGGGCAATTTGGCCCCTTTCTCTATCAGAAAGGAGAGGAAGTGTCAGGGTAGAATTCAGGGGAGAGACACCCTTGTTCTAGAAAGATCTCCAGAGAGTAAGATGCTGCAGTCTCCTGCTAGCAGCTACCATATGGCCAGGAAAGCAGGTTAGGCCTTCTCTACCTTAATCTCATTTGCTGCATATCACACACACACACACACACATTCACACACACTCAGATAACACACTTCCATCCACAGTGACCAGTGGCTAAGGAGGTCACTGCCAGATTCCACATTGCCAGGCTCTCCGTGCACATCTGGGTTTCCCTGTGTCAACAGAAACATGCTCCGATTTCCAAGTTCATTGGTCCGTTGCCATGGAAACATTCAACCTCCTAGAACTAGGCACAGGGCCTGACCCCTGTGGTGCAGGGTAGGAGAGGAGAGATGGAGAGTGACAAACAGAATGTGGGGGAGGAGGCTGGGGAGACACATCTGGGTATATGTGACCCCTTGCTGTCTCGTCCCCTGGGACCACCTACCCTCTCCCCTCTGCCTCAATAGATCTCTCTAGGCCAGGGGAGTGGGGAAGAGAAGTCATAACAGGTGTATGGCTAGAGCTATGTGGAGAGTGCTTGATCATTGCCTGGATTCCCACTGGGCATTAAGAGAGATTAGCTCTGGAGCGGGGGCTGAGGTCTAGCCCTGTGACCCATGCCCAGACCATCTTGGGGACACTGGGCAGCCCTCCAGGCCTGAGGTCCCTGGCTAAAATGGCCTCAGGCCTGAAGCTGCTTCAGCTGGCTCCCCCTCCCTTTCTTGTGTGTGCCCCACACCCAGAGAACCTGCTTAAAATGGGATTTCCAGGCTGTGATGTCAGAGGAAAGGTAGCCGCCGCTCCAGCCTATGCCAGCTCTTCCTTGACCGGTAGAGCTGAGCCCAGCCTTGCTCAGCCTGGAGGAAAGGGTGTTAGGTAGAGGAAGGAGGGGCTCTGGGGGCTCTGGTCCCCATATATGTGGCATTCTGGATAATAGGGAGAGACTGTTTCCAGGCCTAAAGGTACTGCTGGCTTCCCCACTGCCTTAAATATCAGCCAGTACGTGATCATCTGCCTCACAAATTGCCCCCAGTTTTTCGCTCTCTGAGCTGGGTCAGGCCTGCATGGAGGAGGAGAGCACCTCAAGTCTTAGAGCCATTTGGTTTCTACCTGAGAGCTTGTCGCTTATCTAGGCTGCAGGCAGCGATGGGTGGGAGGGATGCCTGCAAGGAGGAAAAGAGCCCACTAGATGGCGCAGCTCGCTCCCACTGTGGGATTCTCTGGCCCCTGCCGGGGACAGTCTTACATTCAGCAGTCAGTCTGCTGAGTAGGATGCTTTATACCCCACTCCCTGGAGTTGGAGGTTCATGAAGAAAGCATCCTTGTGGGTAGATAGGACAGCTGTGGATTCTCAATCACTTCCTAACCCCAGTTTGTGTGCACAGGAGATGGTCAGACCCAGTGGGCAGGTACTCCCTTTGGGCGAGGATCTGGCACCTCCTGGGAGCAGGGAAATTGCCAAGCTGACCCTGGGAGGGCCCTACAGCCCAAGGAACCCAACCTGGGCTCTGAAATGGCATCTAGAGAGGATGCTGGAGCTGATTTCAGGGTCAGGTCTGAAGAGGGACCCAAGAGGTGGCAAGGGGTAGGGAATTTGGGAGGGACGGGTTGGGCGGGAGAGAGGAACGCTAACCTAGCTGCAGGATTCCCTGGATATGATCTCCTGGATGGCCACAGTGGCAGTCCCAGGCCTGCCCCCAGGTGTCCCTGTCCCCTTCCCCTTCCCTTATTTTCATCTGGGGTACTGTAGGGATGAAAAAGAAGACAAAGACCCTAATCTCCAAACCCTGGAATCCCAAAGTACTTTTCCAGCAGCCAGGGCCGAGACGCCTCAATGACCTACCTTTGCCTGACCTCTTTCCCAAACTGACCCCACCAGCCCTGAATACCTAATGTATTACCCTCTCCTTTTGTCCCAGCCAGATGAGTGATCAATAAATAATGCTGCTTGAAATATTAATGGCAAGTTTTACACCAGCATCCCTTAGCTGTGCCTGTCATTGGGGAACTCACTAGAGAGCTGACAGAGAAATGCATGGCCCCCCAGAGAGCTCTCTCCTTTTCCCGTCAAGAGAAGGTCTTTCTTTGCCAAGATTTCGACCTGTTCCTATCTCAGCCAGATCATGATTCATTGCCATTTGGTTAGAAGAGGACAGATCCCCCAGAGACCAACTCAGCCAGCTTCCCAGGAAAGGATGGAGTAAGTTAAACCAAGCAGAGACCCTTCTTGATTCCTTTGTCTCCTCTGATGCAACTGAGATCCCATTTCCTCTCTTCTATGTCCATCTTGGACCTGCCAGGTCCAGCTTTCTGAGTGGTGACTCAGGAGGAGATCTGAGGCTTCCCTCCTCCCCCTGCCTCAACTATTTAGAGCCTGAGCAGAAGGGACTCACATGCTCCCAGACTTCTCTGGCCCAGTCATTCTCATCTGGCTCTGTTCTCCCTGGAAGAAGAGGACGAGGAGGAGATGGGAGCTCTTGGCCCTCTTGAGCCCACCTGGTGGGCTCCCGGGGCCAGCGTCCTCCTTTGGGGAAGCCAGGCCCACTCAAATCTTTGAACACGCAGTGCCTTCTGCCCGAGCACTCTTGGTCTCCTGCTTCACTTGGTCAGCTCCTGCATGTGCTCCAATTCTCAGCTTAGATGTGACACCACACTCAGTCCAGGCCCCTGTGGCCTTCTGTTCTCTTCCCTGACAGCATACATCACCCTGTTTGGTCATTGCCTGTTTCCCCACTGGACTGAAAGCCAGGGCATAGGGGATGGGTCTACCTGGTCCACCAGCATCTAGTACAGGGCCTGGCACACTATAAGAACTCAGCACATTTTTCTGGAATGTTCGAATGATATCCATGCAGTATTCTTCTGCTCCTGGAAAAACACCAACCTTCCAACCTCAGCATCTCTCTGCTGAGCTGTTTGCCTGCACCTGAGGATGGGTGTCTGCATTAAACAGCGGCTGCCCAGATCACCTACCCTCGCCTGGACTCCCCCCGTGCATGTGCTCATGCTCACTTGCTCTGCTTTTCTCTCCCTCACACACACAGATGGGAGTCAGCTTTCCAGCCACATTCAGTTCTCACTTTAATTCAAAAGCTAAATTGGGAAGAAGAGCAGCTTCACACTCCCAATTTAGCCTGGGAGAGAAAAAGGGAGACAGCCTGGATGTTGCCAGGGAAAGGAGAAAGTCTGGGTCTGGGGTGGGTAGTGGTGGCAAAAGTACCCAGAGCCCAGGAGAAGACCGTGAGACCCCTGCCACCCAGCTCCTAAAAATAAACCATCCAGAGTTATGACCCCAGAGTGACCCCTGTAAAGCCTCTTACTAATACCAGTGCAGCCATTCTGGGCATTACCCCAGTCTAGGGGTGGGATTAGAGGAGGTAGAAGAGACTTGAGTTAAGAAAACTATCCAAAGAGGGAGATGCTGCTGCTTTGGTCACTGGTAGTAGGAAACCAGAAAATCCTTCTTAAACCTAACTTTAATCCCTCTGGTAATTGCTGAGATGAGATGAATGATGAATAGAAACAGAATCCATAAACAGATACTTGCTCACTAATATTCATTATTCACAATAGTCAAAAGGTAGAAACAACCCCAATGTCCATCAACAGATGAGAGGATAAACAAAACAAAATGTGGTACATACATACAATGGAATATTATTCAGCCTTAGAAAGAAATGAAATTCCGATGCATGCTACAACACGGATGAACCCTGAAAACATTATGCTAAGCCAGGCATAAAAGGACAAATATTATGGAC